CTGTAAATGTTTATGAAAATTAATAAAATATAATTATAGAAAAAAAGAGAGATGCTATCTAGAAATTAACTGAATAATATTATTTACTAGATAAATTAACTAGAAGTGAATTAATTAGATTTATATATGTCAACATGGCCAGGTATACATATATGTGTAATAAAATGTACGGAAATAGATTAGAAGAATATATATCAAATTGATAATATTAATTGATTATGGGCCAGAAGAAAAATTGGGCTGGAGTAGAGTAAATATAGCTTACCTGGTGGCCTAGTGGAAAGGAGCTCACTCCCAGTCTGAAGGCATGTGGTTCAAATCCCCCACCTGCCCCACAGGAAGGACGGATTGTCTCCTCCTGTGTGATTTACTGCCTCTGAAAACCCACTGTAGGGCAGGTATGGGTTATTTCCAACTTGACAGTACATGACATGAAAACATCAAAGTCATTAAAATTTTTCTTTTCCTTTATTTCTTTTGAGTTAAATTTTACATGTCTTTCTTGTTTTTATTCAGTTCTTTTATTTTAAAAAGGAGGAAGATGACGTAGTCTGCTTTCCTAAGATTTATATCCTGGGAAGCTGTTTGGTCAATTCTGCTCTGTCCCTCAGGGCTCATTGTCAGTCTGAATCCTCTCAAAAGCAGTGAATTATTTGGAGACTTATATAACCTGAATGAGAAATAATATGTTGGAGAGACTTGGAGACATTAAAACTGTTAGCTTTCCCCCTAGCCTTTTGAGATCAATAAGGCATAAGAGTTATGTTGTTCTTATGTGCCATCAAGTCACCTGTGACTCATAACAACCCTATATACAATAGCTCTGAAACCTGCTCTACTCTGAGCCAGTATCACTATCTCCAGTACAATTTTAATTTTACTTTTTTTTTTTTTATTGGAGAGGGACATCATGCTTGGGAGGGTGGAGGGACGGCGCAGGAGAGGAAGGCCCTCTATGAGGTGGATTGATTCAGTGACTGGGATAATTGGGATGGGAGTGTCAGAGACAGTGCAATTGGCACAGGACAGAGCGGAGTTTAGGGCTGTTGTACATAGGGTCGCTATGAATCGCAGACGACTCGACGGCACATAACAACAACAACAACAACAATTATTGAAAATTGATCATAAATATAGCAATAAAGTTAAAACTTCATTATTTTTAGCATAATTCAGAATTTTAACTTTAGTGTAAATTTATCTCAATGAAAATACGTTTCTGTGGAATATTTTTACATTTTTAGCTCTGGTGACCTAGTGGCAAGAAGTTGCACTGCAATCCTGAAGGCATGCAGTTCAAGGCCACCAAACTGCTCCACAGGAGAAGGATAGGCAATCTCCTCCCGTGCAGTCAACTGCCTCTGAAAACCCACTGGAGGGTCGGCTATGAGTCAGTTCCAACTCTGTGGTATACAACAACAACAATGTAGGTTTTGGTTCATTGGTTTTTTTTTTAAGAAGTCTCTCTGTCTCTCTCTGTCTCACTAGAAACTGACTCAAAACTGACCCTCTACCTGGTTTTCTGAGCTGTAAATTGCATAGGAGGAGATTGCCTATCTTTTTCTTTAGAGGCCACAAGAACTCCATATATAGAAGACTAATACGTTTTCTTCCAGCATGCTAGAATTCTGTTCTGTCAAATACTGCTTTTGAAGTAGAGGGACTATCCATAAGATTGATTTTTAAATTTACAAAACCTTCCCTTTTAGTAATATTCTATTTTTTTAGCCTTTTGAAAAAGCAGTAGATGAAATATTTTTTAACAATAACTAATATTAATTTGTGGCTCTTTTCTGAAAAGATCCTTTTAAAAACCTTGCTAAAAAAATTCCCCCCTCATGTACCAATTTTGTCAAATAAACTGCCAAGTTTATCAAATTTTCCATCTGTTATTAAAAACAAACTTGTTTACTTAAAGACAAACAGAAAAGGTCTTATTTAACTAAAAAGTTTTATAGCGGTTCTAACTGGATGGGCTTCTAACAGCTTGCAAGTATTTCTGGAGCGTCAGCATTTTATGAAAAGTGCATTTTATCTGTGTCCTAGCTCCCTGCTGTTGCAGATGAAGGGAACTGGGGCAGAGAGAGGCAACCTTCCACTGCAGGAAGGTGGAGCCTGCACGTCTTAGCTAATTCATCAAGCCTAGATGGGTAAGAGGAGACTGTGAGGTTAAAAGAGGACCTAGGTGGAGAGGGTGACTCTGATGTGTGAAGTAGACTCATAGTAGGCTCTAGGTCAGTCCACTGAAAACCCATGTGCCAAAAGTCCATATGCCAAGTGACTTTCCTGCAGGATGTTCATTGCTCTTTTCTAATACCACAACTCAAAGGCATCATTTCTTCTCTCATCTTTATTCATTGTCCAGCTCTTAGACGCATAGCCTTAGGGAGTTGCAGTGCTAACCCAGAGACTGTGCTTCTCTGAGCCTTCAAGTCCACCAGTGGCTTTGTGAGGGAAAGATGGGCAATCTCCTCCCATGCTATTTACAACCTCAGAAACCCTTGATAGGGTCACCCATGAGTCATTTCAACTCTACAGAAATGGGAAAGACAGAGAGAATTCATTTTCAGTGAATTGAGTTTCAAATTAAGCCATTATCTTTTAACATATTTGTTACTGGGCAGGAAAGTCACTGGGCATATGGACTTTTGGCACATGGGTTTTCAGTGGACTGACCTAGAGCCTACTATGAGTCTACTTATGGGGTTGAGAACAAGGTTAGAGAGAGAGAAGAATGAAGGAAAATTTTCCTGGATAATATTTTTAATTTAATTTAGGCATGTCCTTTTTTCTTTCTCTATAGGTTTAATGTCCTTCGAAATTACATTAACCTCTGTCTTCCTCTTCTATCAATCACAATTCTCTTTCTGACCCATGCTGTTGTTGTTGTTGTTATGCGCCAGCAAACTGCCTGTGAGTCATAGCAACCCGATGAATGATAGCTCTGAACCTGCCCTACCCTGAGTCAAGCTCATTGTCTCCAATAGACTTCCATTTCCTCTGTCACCGAGACAGTCCATCTCTTCCAGAATTTTTTCTCCTGTGCTGTCCCTCCACCCTTCCAAGCATGATGTCCTTCTCAAAGGACTGGTCCCTTCTGGCCATGTGCCCAAAGTATGTGAAAAGGAAAGGAAAAACTTGGTTTTACCCTCTCCAAAACAGACCTGTTTGTTTTCTTGGTCTTCTGTGTTGTATTCCAGATTCTTCTGCAGCACCACAACTCAAAGGCATCAGTAATTCTTCTGGTATCCTTAGTCATTGTCCAGCTTTATAATGCATAGCAAGAAATTGCAAAGACCATGGCCTGGATCAGGTGCACCTTACTCTCTAGACTGATA